AGCTTGCGGCTGGCGAATAGGACGTACTGACGGGTACATTTAGACCGCGTCCGTGTGTGACTTGGAGGATGCCATAGCCAAACCAATTCCACAGGAAGGCCTTAAGCAGCACTCATCCGGTTAGACATAAATAATTTCAACTGGTACCGTGGTTAAAATTTTAGAATGAGTAATCATGGTAGCCACCGTGTTATACTCAGTAGACGAAATTCGATTGTCACGCTTGAACCTCGGTTTACACTGAAATTTTGCATACCTGACAAACTCTCCATTCAAAGAAGGGACATTAAGTCTGAGGATAACTGAAAGCCCGTATGTATCACTTTTATAGACTGCAATCAGGTGCTTGATAAGGTACCTTATTCCAGGGTGCCCATGAGACTGGAAAGTAGTGAAATCACTGGAAATATATTTATGTGAATCAGAGAGTCCTCTGTTGGCAGGAAGACAGAAGTAAGGAACAGCTTCTAACAGTCAATTTCAAAGTCAGAACACAAGTGAGGGCTTAAAATAAATTCCTGGGTTGCTTTGTACCTTTTCCATACATAGGTGAGACACCAACTATAATGAATTTTCCCTTGGTTCTCAATGCCGAAGATGTCAAATTCCGACAAGAAATGGAGAATAGCAGTGACTTCGGTACATTTGAAACAAACATCAGAAGTTTGGCGACCCGGTAAGGAGAAATGACAGGTGTTTATCAACGTAGGTAAGCAAGCGAAGAAGAACATTAAGAATGATAATGGCATGAATTACGGTATACATGCTACTACACTGTCATCATTATTCATTCAGAACGATCTTATTTCAGAGTATATAAGGATTCGAAGATATTGGCACAAAGTATGTCGGTCACAGCATGCATTCCACTACAGCTACACTGGCCCTACCTCAACAGTAATGTAACAAGTATAGTAGCGTCTGTCCATCACCGTCAACCTTTGGGACAAAATAAAGCTCAGACTGCCTTCCAGTATTTGGCTGGATGTCCATCGAAGCTGCATAATTCCACTTTTGGCAACCCATGGCCGACACTAATGCAGGACAAAGTAGTAGCAATCTCGTTCCCTGAGCTGCCCACCTGGCTGGTCATTTCAGGAGCAAGCCTGTTGCGATGGTCAGTACCAAGACAAACTGGTTTGTGACACTTTACATCATCACCCAACAAGGGTGTCGCTCAAACCTCCTTTCACACCTAATAAGTTCAATTCTTTATGCAAGCACAGTTCTTCCTGTCTTTGTTTAGCCATGAGTTCACGAGGCTGTAACTACTGCCTTTCATTACACTGTCATGCCTTCAATTCAGCAGAGGTTCTGCTAGGGCTGGCCTTACTAAAGTGGATAACTATACTATCATCAGAGCCACGACACGAAATAGACTCAAGAGGAACCTGCCTTGTATCTGGAGGTGGATCCATCGACATGTCACCTTCTCTGTCCGGTAATGACTCAGGCACCAAGTTCTTGAGCTTGCCAGGTACAGCAGTGGCGGTTTGTTGAGTACCGTAACAGCCAAAATCCAATTATTTTGGCCTAAACGCGGGAAACAACTAGGCGGTGCCACCTAATGCGAATCTCACAAGTTCTTGCATCCTTATGTGTGGTTTCCGAACTTCCACGGGTGACACATAGTTAAAAGCTGGATCAACAGTGCCAGTGACACGGCTTGTAGCAAATCAGTGGTAGACTCATAACAAAGTCAAGCAACAATAAGTTATGCCAAAATTACAAAAATACTTCAAGTCCCGTTGGGTAACCTTACAGTCCAGGCGTTCTCGGGTGCAAACACTTACTATACAATAAAAATTGGTCAAACAACTGCAATTGTTAAGAACCTGAGAATCAGTAAGAATGTTGTCGACAAAACGGGGTTGGAAACTCTGTCTACCAAAACCGAATCAATAAATAAACGCTTCCAGTGGCCGGTCAAAAATAAGCAGTCAGGTCACAGCACAACCTTGAGTTGGACTGAAACAAAATATCGGGAGCAGTAAAGCAACGTCATGTGGTCAACAGCTCAGCGTTGCGCAATAGGAAGGTGAAGTATTCATGATAAGTCTCAACTAAACAAAGATAAATGTTGGGTGCGAGGCGGTCAAATAACCAAATAATATTACATCGGCCCGGGCATAATGTCCACAACGTGGGTAAAGATATCCAAACAAGTGTTAATGCTGTCAAGTAGGGTGATAGGGAGAGATTTTCAGGTCACGTTTTGCGTCACAAATGCTGCATCTTTTACCTCCTCTCCTTTTCTTTCTACATGTCTTGAACACCTTAGAAGGCATAGGAAACTCCTGATTGTTGCTGTGAACTTGCTTACGTCTCTTAATGATTTACCCAATTTGGTTATGCGAGGAGAGTGGAATCGATGGTGCAGTCAGTTGCTGAGAAAGATGAAGCTGTCCTGCCACGCAACCACTCAGAAGACAGCCACGGAGTTCACCGGAAACTGTTACCATCACTAGATGAAATACTGGTGATCATAGCTATACGGACATCACTGACGCATGGGTCATAGATGTCAGTGGCAATATGCAAGTGAGCTTCAGGCAGTTGAGTATTAATCAAAAGTCTAAATGTTGAAAGCTCCGCTGCGTACTCGTGTGCCAGTTACTTCCCCAAAAGAGGACTCACTTCTGGCAAGGACGCTTTTAACCTTCATGCACATTTATCTCGTGAGCCTAAGAAGTAGAACAGGCGAGTTAATATTCCTAGGAATATGGTTCTATTTCAGTTTCGTCACTAAAAACTAGGTCGAACCATGTATCTTCAGTTGACCGATATGGCCCTGATTCGCGAAGTCAGGGGCGAAGCTGGCACTTGCATAGATCCAGGCCACAACGCCAGGGAAGTATCGACTGCCGGAATAATCTACTTGATGGAATCCATGTGGCTCCATAATACTATAAAAGCACGAATTCCCCACGAGAGGTCGCCTGCAAGCCTGCGACCAACTCATCTTAAAATAAAATAAGACTGATTAAAACTCCGTGGGATAAAATAAAGGCAGCTCACAACAACATAGTAACTAAAGATTTTCACATTGCTGCTCTTGAATTGACGACAGCAGGCAAACCAGGGGATCATTTAATCATGACGCAAAAGAACGCTTAAACTAACTGAATCATCCTAAAAAGTAGGGGTTTCATTCAGTGGGGACCAGATGGTAGGGTATCACGGCTTTACTGAAATCTAGTGAATGGTATTCTTGACGCAGAATGCCAATCTGTTCATCCTTCGCCAGGTAGAAAGCTGAATAGTCAACAACGCTTTCACATATAAGCCCGAAAAACGCAAGGGGATACACGTAAACACGATCCACGTTACGGATATAGTCTCAGCGGCACGGAACTTGAAGCGTCACTGACAGAAGAATTTGAGCGTTTTATTCCCTCAAGACTTAAGATCCTATGCCAAGCGTGACAGAACCGCACTTTGCGGAAACTTGGCGGTAGTAACTTTTGGACTAAATTTCGGACAGTTCTACTACAGACGTTTTCAAAAAATTTTCGCAGCTTCATGTGGCCTCACATGGAATTCAAGACCATCGTCCCCCCTCCTCTGCAGAAGGACAAATGAAGCCCAGAAGGCATCCAGGGGCGTTCGACTAATGTGTTCAAAGACTTAGGTATAAAACATACGAAGAACGGCCAGTTGCGCTGGATCTGTATCCTCTGGAATACAGAAGGATAGAGGAGATTTAACGATGACCCACGCATCCTGAACAGCCCTGGACACCCAATATGTCACTTGCCCAGTCTCAGCTGTAGTACTAATCTTAGGGGACACATACAGAACCTAGGCCAGGAACATAGCAAGTCAGATATCATGCACAACCTCTATTCCCTAGTAGTTGTTAAGGCCTAAAATACCCTTCCTGAAGACGCGGTCTAGGTTGCTTCATTTGAATCCTTTAAACGCCGACTGAATATTTATTTCATGTGTGGTTTGGATCTACCCAGAAGTGAGTGAATTTTCACCTTTTAACCGTCACTTTTTCCTCTCTCTCTCTCTCTCTCTCTAACTACACATGGGTTAACAACCACAAGAAGTGGTGATTTAGGGATTTTATATGCGGAAACCAACTATGCGAAAGCTTCTATTGCGTCAACACCCATTTGAACCTACTCACTGAGGTAGATTGAAGCAATAGTATCGTAGACCGTCGACCATCGAGGTCAAGTCGATTTTATCTGTCTAGACGTTGCTAAGGTGCTTGGTCGGGTTATTCATGGCTGCCTTATTGACAAACTAAAATCAGTCTCTGCGGAAGGACGAATTAAGCTCAGAACTTCATAGGGTGCGCCCGACCAAATCTATTCAAGGACTCAGGTTTGAAACTCATGAAGAATGACTCGTTGAGCTTGATCCGTATACTCTGGAAAATAAAGAACTAAGAGGGAACTTGACAATGGCTCACAATTCCCTGAACACCCCCTGGGCAGCCACTGTATCACCTAAAACGTCTTATTCGTAACTCCAATCTTAAAGGACATGCAAGCCTGAAACAGGAGGTTGGATATCAGACACAACTTCTACACACTAAGAACTGTTAAGTCCTGAGATGCTAATTCTGTAAAATTGATCCAGGCCACTACACTTTAATTCTTGAGACACAGGCTTGATAATTACTGAAGATGTGGGTGCAGTCTGTTCAGAAGTAACTGAATTTTCAAGCTTTAACCGCCACTTTTTGCTCTCTCTTTAACTGCACACAGATTAACAATCGGAAGAACTTGTGAGTCATGGTTTCTTAAGGCACGAACCAGTTAAGCAACAGCTACCATTCCGTCAGTAACTATTTGAACCTTTATAAACGATCTGTAAAAATTTCTTCCTTACGATTTAATTGCAGGAGAGTGGAAAGGGTTTTTAACGTCTATCTAAATAACAACAAAATATCTAGAAAAGAGTTAGTGCATACTAATAGCCCTTTATCTTAAGCAGAAAGTTTTCATGTGATATTTGTTCAAGTACACCACTTAGAAAAAGTTGCTGTGTGGGGTTTCAATCGTTCTAGGTTACACCATCAATTTAGCTCCACAGCTCTTAGGGCATTGTTTATTATACTCAATGAGTTTCTGATGAATAAGTTTTTATCAACATCCCAAATTGATTGGCTTCATATGGATAAAAACAGAGTTGATCCTATCATAAGCGCGCTCAACCATAGTGCAGGTAATTGTTTCTATACTTTTAAAAATTATTCAGATGGTGTATCTCAAGAGCCTACTGATTTTTTTGCTGATGTATGTGTGGATGTTCACAGTGAAGAACAAAGTGCAACTGGCTCTTGTGTTAATCCGTCGGAGGTAGTTTACGAATTCTTGTTCGTCTCATGTATCATTTCCGTAGGTTGATGGGGTTTCATTTATGGACTCTGAATATAATGAATCCTGGGAGGCAGCTGTTTGTTCATCTGAGGTTTCTGTAGTTCAACCTCACACTACAAGGTGTTCTTTGAACTTAGCCAAAGATATTACTGAGTCATCAAAAAGTATGACTAATTTGCCTTCTGACAGTGATCTTTCGTGTACGGTGAAATGCTGGGATTTAGTTTCATCACAGAATTGTTCTTCAAAAGAGACATGCGATGATATATTCACATGTGACAAACGCTGTGTTGTTACTGATAATCCCAAGAACTGTGTTCCAAGGGATTCGGTGGTGATACATCCCCAGGTTTCTCCAGAAATGACGGTCGGGCATTCACCTATAAATCCAGCTATTCGGTTCCGTCTGACAGAAACGAAGTCAAGTAATTCATTTGGGTTGCCCCACCCTTCAATTCCAAGCTATAATTCACTTAGTTGTGGCTCTGACTTTCCTGCTGTCGAGGCAGATTCTTTTACTTCGTCTTCGGAACGCTCGACTATTTTCGCCTCTCCTGCAAGTTTACAGTCTTTGGATTTTTTAAAGCAGCGTAAAATATTGGAGTCTGAATTTCAACGGCTAGAAGAAATAAAAAGTATGTCCCCAAGTTCCAGCCCTATATCTCGTAAACCCGGTCCTCTAAAAGGGTCGAGTCCCTCTGCAGCTCACCACTGCAGTCTTTGTGGGAAACAGTATCGTCACGTCGCTTCTTTAAGAAACCATATGCGGAAACACACATCAGGCGTGTTAGCCTCAAAACGATACAAATGTAATCACTGTGTGTATTCAAGCCAATATCATCGTAACGTCATCAAACACATGGAAGCCACTCACCCCAGTCATGAAGGGAATTCCCCACTGGATGCATCCCATTTCTGTGGCCAGGGTGGTACTCCATGTAGTACAATCATACCCGATGATCTTAAGCCGAATCTTATTAGTTCTCGTGTATGGATACCTTACACCAAAGTAGAACAGAACGTCTGTGACGCTTCTTCTGAGGCAGCTACTCCCAAAGAACCTGCGGGTTTTGCACCTTTAGAAGAAAAAACTAGTTTTTCAGTTCCGAACTCCGGTAAGTTTCTCTTAATTTTCAAGCATTTTTTACAGATTCCCACTTTTCCACATCACAACTGATTTCACCAAGTTATAATTCCGGAATATTGGACAAGCACCTCGAAAGGGATTACGCCAATAGAGATTTGGGAAGTGTTCTTGGTAAATCAATCTCTTAGTTTTATTTTACCAATTTTTAGTCTCCACTGATGTTACCAGATCTTTTCGGTGTGACATCTCGGGTTGTGAACGAACTTTTAGGTCAGTTAGATACCTATCTAATCATATGAAAGATTCACACCGAGACCTGAAGCAATTTAAATGCCCACTGGAAGGATGTTCATTTGGTGGGTTACGTCGCATGCATCTAAAGCGTCATATCAATGAATTCCACAATGGTATGTCAAGCTTTTTCGCCATTTTCTACCATGCATCCATTGCACTAGATAAATCGTTTGGTTGTGGTCTGTCAAGCATGAATCAAACTTCTTTTTTGACTAGACATGTGTCATACCTTACAGTGCATTGTTGTTGCTTAGCTTTCTGTATACTTAGTCCTTATATGTTGAACCAACAGATCTACTTTTGATTATGCGGACGTCCATCTTCTTTGTGTCGGTTTGCTGAGACACACATTCTGTTGCTTCACAGTTGATAATAGTAACTTCATGGCATCTGCGTCGATTGTCACGCGAGTTTCAGCCTAGAAACCTACGTTTTCTTAAAAGGTTCAGGCAAGTAGTTATAGGCTTCTTAGAATGATCTTACATTTTATCTGGTTGCCGTTAACGTTTCCCCAGCATAATCGTTTTCCACTCCTCTCTTATTTTTACCATTGCTTTCCTATTTCAGTCCTTTTTCTTTGTCTTCTACCTTGATGTCAGGTGTGGTACTCAAACCATTATGCTTAAACGCCTGGTTCCGTGTTGTTATTGACTAAAGAAATAAAAAGTATAGACATACAACGACTGATCAGTAAAGTTGGAATTATCAGTGTGTATCCAAGCGATCTTCATACTTTTGTGTTGGTGCCAAGTGAGACCAGTTGTGGAACAAAGATTTACGTGTTTAAACGCACAAAACGTAGATTATACCCTATATATATATATATGTAATGGCTGTAGAGAACGAAGCGCATTACAGTATGGCTTACTCGTATTTTGAAAATCTCGGGCACCTGAGATATACAGCACAGTAAAGATTAACAAGAAAAAAGTACTTCCATTTTAGTCTGTTTATTAGAAATGTCAGACAGTGAAAACAGCATCACTCACTGGATAACGTTTCGGACACAGTTTATTGTCCATATTTCATACCAGGTAACTCAACAACTTTGAGACAGTTTATATATTCCTAATTTTCTTGCTTTCTCCGTGATGACAAGGGTAGTAGAATTTCCCATATATCTAGGACAGGTGCAGAATCGTTTCGTTGGCATGTATTTAGTGTTGATTCGATAAACAAAGATTCGGTTATTAATTCCTCCCTCCACCTAAGTTCTCAGCACTGTCACTCTATCCCACCCTACTGTGTGATTGTGTTATTGCATGCAGAGTTATGATTGAACTCTTCTCTAAATTTCTTATCTTATTAGGATCTACTAATCTTGATTTAGCTAAGCTTTTGTGCTCTGTTATTCTAATTGACCCTGGTCGACTGCTTTGACCTATGTATTTGACCTCGTAATCATTGGTAAACCAGATTATTTTGCTTAACTGCATCGATAGGATCTTTTAACCTACAAAGCTTGTTTCCAAGTTAGTTTGTTGGTTTGAATGCCACTTTAATCCCAGCCTTGTTGAGAATTTTTCGTAATGCTTCTGAGGTGCCTTCCTTGTATGGTAAAATTATTTCCTGTTATCTCTTTCAGCAATTTTCTGCCTATTAGTTTTACATAAAATGTGCCAGTCAGTCTCAGAAGATTCATCCCTAGCAGTGTAATGTTGACTAAATTAATGATTCATTAGTTCAGCTGCTTTTGAATACCTCCGTGTAATATGTCGTCAAAAAGCTAACTGCGACATTCATTTGTAAAGTATTTTGCATTAGTATGTGGTTTTTGGGTAATGCACCTTATTATGTACAGTCAAACAATCATGTGCTTTCCTTTTTAGACAAGAAGCTTTCACTTTACCGAATGTTGGACCAAAACCGACTTGATAGTAAGCCGTACAGTTCTATTCAACACGTGGCAATGTATGGTGGACCGGAAAGGTTCTCTCCTAACATAATAAAAATACCTGGAAATCAGCCGTCAGAACGGCAATATTGTAATCCTCAGATGACTAATTTTATGTCAAAAGGAACTACCTATTCAAATGAATACTCGTACGACAATTCTGAATGTCATGGAAACGATGTATATTCTTTTCCTGTTTCAAGCTTATCAGCTCATTCATCCAGAGAAGTTTGTGGTTTGGAGCACACCGATAGATTACTATCTGATCAAGTTTCTGAAGATGTACAGGAAAATTCGCATTCAGTTGCCACTGGTATGCCAAATGAAACAAACAGACCGTTTCAAACTATGACTAGTGACAATACACCAGCATTTCAGAATGAACAAAGTTTTACTGTAAGTAGTTTTCGTGTGCAGTCCGAACATCATTCTGCGTCAAATCAATCAGTTCATTATCATCAGCGTGATCCGAACAAATTATCGAACGCAACCGTAAACGAATCCCTGCAAGAACAACTAAATTCTTTTCCATCAAACCCTCCATATTCCAATGTAACATCTTGCATGTCTTTCAATCACAGCGAACCATTTACCAATCCTAATAGTACCAATGACAATCGCCCAAGTGAACCTGATATAGTTGAGCAACTTTTAGATAAGCCAGATGTTCTAGCTACTGCTCTTGATCATATTTTGTGTGAGCCAATAGAAGCTTGTAAAGATGAAGAGCATAATCAAGACGTTACTGCTTCCGAACTTAGGGTTAAAACGCCTGTATTATCAGCGGCATCTGTAAATGGTTCTTATTTGTCTCCTTCTTGTCCTGAGATTCTTTTACCCAGTAATACAAAAAGTTCCATGTCTGATATGAATACATCAATGAATAACCTTCATTCTAGTAATGTGATCTCAGAGACCGATGCATTTTTCTCTGATTTACAAGAAATCCTCGCTCGTGATATGCCTATGCTAACATCATCTACACCCAGAGGTACTGATTCCTCAGAGTTGGTAGTAACTGCAGTTAAAGATATGATTATTGAGTCCAAGTCTCCAACAGGAATTACTGGATGTAAATTAATGGGTACTTCTTCATTACCAAGCACTGATTCTGGACATGAGTGTTGGAGCAGTAGTAGCAGTTGCAGTGCTGGTCCTAATAGCACTTCTGTATGGGGTCTGCACGAAGCTGTTACTCCAATGAAAGTGTCATCCCCACTTCCATCTTCAAATTTATCGCATCAACCCTCATCTACTACAAACCGTTCTGCGTCCGGTATGTTCGAAAGTCAAGTCGTGGAACAAGTCAGTGATGAACAATTATCTGATTGCAATTCTCATGACCAACTTTTTACCAACTACTCTAAAACTGCTTACTGTATATCTGGAACTGTTGATGATATGTCAGTCACTCCATATCTACCATTCACTGCACCACAACAACCATTATCTACGCAGATCAATAAAAATGTTCGTTTAGGTAATACCAGTCAGTCAACTTACAGCCGCACAGCCTATGACCATGGTATGTTTCCCGTTAATTATTGATAATATTCTGTTTTTGCTACATTCGATTATTCCCATTCGTTTTGGAGGTTTGTAGGGGAGTTAATTGCCTCTAAAGGTTTCTTCTATGACAGACTGATAGCAGCCAGAGAATAATTAAAAACTTGAAAGTACACTCAAAACCCTGTGAGGAATCAGACCCAGGATCACCAACTTTCACGGCGAGCACATTATTGCTAGGCTTTGTGAAGTTGATCACGTTCTTTCTATTTCAAAATTCGTAACCACGGTCTCTGCGTAAGAGAGGATACTTTTTTTCCAGATCTATATAGCCTACTACTATTAAAGTTTAATGAAATAATTTAGTGTATGCTAGCGGGCAGAATTAGCTATGCAGATTATCCGAATGTTAGTTGTAAAATATCACCTAGTAGAATTAGTAACAGTGCCCCCTACCTGTGTTGAAATCTTTCTCTGGGCACAGTATAAAAGACCAATCATTCCCATTTTTACATCAGGAACGCTGAAGAAAATATCGTTTAAAAAATGCGAATGATGAAATAACTAAAGTAAAGAACTATATTACATGCATTTACTTCCACTGGTTTCGATAATTCCGCTGTTGATTGTCAGTACTTAACTATTCTCCCTGTCCACCTAGAGTTCATCAAGATAATCCGTGCTTCAGTTCCTTAGATCATGCACCAAATTGTAACTGTATGACGATAAAGCCCGAAACCTGAAGTCACTACACACTAAATGAAAAACGAAATGCCCCCAGCTAACTTGTGCACATTCGTGCAGCAGGCAATGAGCTAAACCCATTTTGTGAGGGTTAGTGATACTATTTAGCTTCCCAAACCTCGGCAGGTGGAACGGGTCGCGACCTCGTGACCCAATGGTTAGTAGTCATCTCTCTAAACCGCTAAGCCACAGTTCCACACGCACTGAACGCGCACTTGTCTGATTACGGTTCTCATGACCGACTTTTCACCAACTACTCTAAAACTGTTTACTGCATATCCGAGACTTGTAGTTAGAAGGGTTTTAAAAGCCTTTAATTCGTTTGCATTATTGCTAAAAAAGAGAACGAGTATGCCTACTACCCTTAGATATTTGAGATGTGTAGTCTTTTGTAGATGCTACGTCACAAAAATATTTTTGAGGTTGTTTTATTGTGTGGATCACCAAAGTTATAACTCACAGTTTGTGCAACTTTTCGCTTGTATAAAACTTTATTCCAGGAAAATAATTCTTTTGGATTTCGAAAAGATACAGTACACTTCATATATTTTGGATAAGTTTAATATCCACTAAGAAGGTATATCTACAGCTGGAGGTGTGGTTTAGGTTAGTGAATTGATTGGTGGGTTGCGGGTTCGAACTCCACTCCATCTATCTAGGTCTGGGTAGCCAGGTTGTCACTAGTCCTTACTTAAGTTTGGATCACTATCCACTGTAATAAAATGCATGTAGTTATCAGTAGCATTTTGATTCTTTTGATCTGCAAATTAGAGAAAATCATACTCCCAAAATTATCTGATCAAGCACTACACTCAAAAGCGTTGAAATAGTGTGTCTGTAACTGATTGCATCTGTGTCTGAATTAAACTTACTAATATTCTTAAATAACAAGCAATTTCATCATGGATTAACATTCAACTAGAGTTTTTGAAAATCAGCGAGCACTTCACCGTTGTGTGATTCTAGTACAGGGTCCCATAGCAGCGTACACCCGTAACCATTATACAGAATACTCCTATAATAATGGGACTAATACAGAACAGTCCACGTGAGTGTGGTGTTGACGTGCACGTTACGATTTAACCACTCGGTTGAATCCGATGGTCCACATTTAACAGTATCTACCAATATCCGATACATGACCGTCAGTCAATGTCCTTTCTTGATATTTATTTTCACTTTCAACTTATTTGACTATATAGGTCACAACTCCCTATTAAAGCCTCATGAAGTTCATCTTAAAATCAGTCAGCAATGAGTATTTGACCATCATTAAATGGCTCTTGAGAGATTGATTTCAATTAAATCAATAACACTTTACCATCCAGTTTTCCATTTCACTAATCACTACAATATTTCATGTTCGCAATGCACAAATTTTTCATGAATATGATGTTCAGTATACTATGCTAAGATGAGTAGAGACCTCCATTCCATTCTTATTTTGTAAATCTTAAGTACACTGCTTAATGCTTTTAAAAGTCACTGGAGAACTATTGCTTATTTGGCTTGATACTTTCTGGTTTAGGTGCCGGTTTCGCACAGAATTCACAATCTCCTATTTGTAATCTTCGAAATCCTCAGTTTAAGTTCACTCATGAACGTTGTTCCTCTAGCCATGTTATACCTGCATATAGATCATGTGATTCAGTGATGAATCAGCAGAATTCTGCTGCTTACTTCACAAGCAAAAACTCACACATGCCGAATGATTTTACGCAAAATCGAGAGGTTTTCAACTGTCGGCAAACTGATATACGACAGATTAATCAGTACCCGTCTACTTCACTATCACCGTATTCAGAACCAGCTTGTCATTCCACCTTTGTTCAGTCAAAATTTCAAAATCATAAAGTCAGTGAGATTGATATGCGAATAACATCTTCACTAAGAAACTATCCAACTCAGCCTCAGGAACATGTTTATTGGCAATCGAATACAAAGTATCATACAGGTATGTTTACTCTTCAATTGGGTTATTTTTTTTGTAAAGTCACCCTACATTTCCACCTGTCGACTAATCACCAAACTGATAAAAACTTGAAAATTTCTTCACCAACATGAAAAATGTGAACTGTCCGCCATAGATTATAAGGCAACTCATTGGTTTTTATTGATTCCGAAATAGATTGACTGTTAAGCGAAAATCTTCAAATCATTTTCTGGCTAACATTGTAATACTTAATAGAGAAGTTATAAGAATAGTAATTCAGTCTTCCGTAAAGTGGACTCACTAAACATATATCTGCTTCAATTTCATTAGAATTATGGAAACACTTATTCGTTTAGATACAGTGCTGTGGTTCTGTTCTTTAAATTGTGCTTCTTATTTGTTGAATGTCAATGAATAAGAACAAGGCATGTATCATCAGCGAAGAAGAGATATTTCTTTTCAACGACTTTATTATCAAGTTGTACAGTCGTATTTATACTCGGTAAAATGACATAATTGCACTAAAAAGTTGCTCAGTCAATATACAAAATATACAATAGATGTAGGTGGTGGTATTTGTTCATGGTGGAAGAAATAGAAAATGGGCTCCTGAATAAGGAACGAATTGATAGCAATTGGTGAGGTAAGAGGCACGTGCTGTCAAAGAATTGTAAAACGGTGATAATTTATCTGAAGTATGCAAAATAGGTCAATGAATAATGAATGATATTAACTAGCGAAATATGGGTTAAGTCTTGTTAATGAAGTGAAAATTGGTGATAATAATGATGATAAAAGAAAAGCATACCAAAGTGAAGTGAAATGAAACTGACGAAATAACCAAAAATGAATTGTTAAGGCCAAGGTAGAGAAAGTGGTTTCACAAAACGTTTTTGAACGCAAAGTTTTGGTTTTTCTTCATTTATAGCTAATGCTCCAGCTATGCATAAGTGGTGGAAATGTCTGCCCTTGGAGTTGCTCAATTTAACTTTGTAAATTACTTTAAAGGACGAATCTCGTGGTGCTGAATGACCTAATTCTACTAGGTGTTCACATATGGATGAAGTCGTTTCCCTTCGCTCGCCGTTGGTAAGCCAAACCGGGTAGTGTTCAGCAACACGTTTTCGGAGGGCCCGCTTACAACGTTTCAATATACTAAGCTTCACAGGAGCATGTGCATTTGTAGATACATAGAAATATGGAAATAAGTGGAAGCCTATCCTTCACGCATCGTCGAATCAGACGGAGGCTGAAGAATACCAATCTGTCTAGCACCATAAAATCTACTATTGCTACACCTTGACAGATGGTTTTTCTGCAATTCAGGTGTGGTGTCTCCTTTGAATTCTAGATTCATGGTTAAGATTTTCTTGGGAACTGTAATGGGATTAGGAGTGATTCGTTTCTTATCAATAAATCTTTTAGGGTATCCGTTATTAGATAGTATTGTTCTAAGAGTTTCGATTTCAACATACACCGTGTCTTCTGAACATATTTTATAGATTCTGGAGCACAGCGAGTGAATGAGATATCTTTTATAACTAAAGGTACCCAACTATTAAGGTTAGTGAACTGAGCGGTCCCGGTTGGTTTTCGATGAAATAAAATAGCCAATGAAACAGTCAAAATATTTTGAAATTATATAGTTCTTTCCCTCCAAAGTTCTAATTTGTATGCAGACGAATAATCATACGTTAGATTGATAACGTTATCTACTTATGACTTGTGCATACACTGACAACAATGACTTATTTAGAGGCTGTAACATGACGCAAAATGTCTATGCATATAAAGAGATAGGTCTATTCTCTCTCTATTCTGTTCGGTAAGAGTATACAGTATCTTTCAACGATTGCGTGCTTTGAGACAAGTCAAATGTTAAGGTTTCACTTCAAGCGTGAGCTTATCGTCATTTCTATGAATTTAATATCTGATCGTGTTAATGTTTTGTACTGCTAACCGCGGTGGTAAATAAAACTTCACATTATATGCTCAGCCTACGAAAAACTATGAAGATAGTCTTACTGTAATTAGTATTTTGTCTTTTCGGTCAGTCCTTTGGGCATACATTGTGAATCCCATAGTAACTTTTACTCTTAGTCTTCGTTTAGCGACTGACCAATGTTATCACTCTGATTTGACTCCCCATTGTCCATCGTACCCATATTTGAATGCTGATAAGTGAGAATATATTGATACTTACCAATTGTCAATGCTGTAGAAGGTTACTTCTTAAGTGAATGGGTTAATGTAAGAGTAAAACCTGGGCACTATGGTAGGTTATAATTCCATATTAGTGATTGTAACAAAGCATTATTTATTGATCCGGTAAATAATACTGTATCAGTGTGTGATATATCTAATCATTAATCTAGTGTTGAACGTGGATGACTAACGATGGTCATACCTGAGTGTTTGACTGCAGAACTTGAGACCAGCAACAAATGACCCTTATGAAAGCTTTTTTTAGGATTTCTTTATGGCGTCTAATTGAAGAAAAGCTTGTACCATCCTCGCTCCAAGTTCTTTGGAGCGGAAAGAATGTGTTATTTTTATGGTTGACTCTCTGTATTCCCTTCTCACGATCGAAGAGAGTCAACCCCCAATTCGTGGAAAACACCCTATTGGTATATATATCCAATAGTATAAATTTGCTCTCGCACTCCCATCGTAACGGAAATTATTGACACTATGCTTTTTGTTTCATCACTATTCAACAGACTTTTCTCGTGTGATATGAACTCTAGAAGTGGTCCATTCAACCGCCTTGACTCACTCGGTTATTACGATAGATAAGCCCAATCACTGCGTAGAGGTAGTGGCAGTCGGTCTGTTTGAGCATAGTATCTATCATTATAAGTTCTACAATCACTGAATGGCTAACTAGATGTCAGTAACAGTGCATCTGATACAAACTAAGCAGGTTTCAAAACTGCCCAGGGGTTTATCGACCAGACTTTCAGCTTCTATCATATCCTCGAACACAAACACATCGGTTTCCAACACTGGTTGTATCGACTCCCATTCAGAAGTCTTATGGTAATATCTCTGACTGAAATGGGTGTGCAATAAGTGCATCACCCAGCTGAAGACTATTCGTACACCTTTTTATGCTAAGATCACTGTTGCTAAATGAAGTGGGTTGTTTACATTTAGTGATATTCGTCAAGGATTTCCACTTTCTGCATTTGTATTTAACATTCTTATACGTCTAATTACGTAAGTTTTTCTCTCCTCATCTGTCTTTATATGGATTGAGTTTGCGTAAAACTCCCCGGTAAACTTGGAAAACGCAGACACTATCGTCTTCTTAGGTGCAATTGCTATCAATGCACAGTCTTCTGAATGCGTGTGATAATCTGCGAATATTTGGGATGTTTCTAATATCCCCTATGTCGATTTTTGCTACTGGGCTGGTCTGTGTCTGGGCCCTCATCTAATAGTGCGAAGTAGAGTAGTTCGGCGCTCACACTTATTGATAGTCTTCTACCAACTTCATTTTAAACAACTAGATAATAGTTGACTTTTGGCATCTTATGCCACTTACGGTGATGGCGAAGAATCCGATTACCTACTGACAGTTAGATACACTATGCAGCAGTTCGTTTTGTTCTACTTTACGGTTGTGAAACGTGATTTTTTAATGTAAAGATATTTAACTACTATTGCCTTCGTAGCATTTGTGCGCAGCAGAGCCATAATCTAAGTAATGTAGCAGTTACGTATAAGGGTAGGTGGGTAAGGTTGTAAGGTTTCATCAACTCGGGTGGTTGAGACATTTCGTTCATGCTAATTTACTTTCTTCCCCAACTTCATGTGTTAAGTAGAAGTAGAAGTAGGCTGGAAAAAGATTAAAGGTGTCTAGACTAAAAAGTGGGGCTCGAAAGTGTAACTGTTGACGTAAGCTACATGGGGAAATGTAGACTTTCTGGTCAAAGTCTACGTGACAACCAAGACTAATGGTTGCAAACCCTTGTTGATGTGGGTCAAATTGTATCTTATTGGAGCGAATGCACTACACCTTATATTCATCTTAACAGCTGTATTATATTTCTCTTTTCCCTTCGTCTAAGTCTTATGACTTTCTATGGCCTTTATTATATCATCACTTTTTCTTGTTCCATCTTATCGCATCATATCTTGGTGTTTTCATGTGAGATGTGACTGTTTGGACTGATACGCAGCGGTACCTAGCCCAATGATGATATTGAGTGATGTGACAGTATGGTATATTTACTGTTGTTTTTAATCTTCTAGGTTTTGATTAAGAATCTCCTGAATCTACCGACTAAATCATGAATAAACTAGTAGTATTGGCTTTTAAAGCTTGATAGCTCAATTAACGAAGGAGACGATATTAGAAAGGGGCTTAAAAAAGACATTTGTTGTATGAAGCATGTAGGTGCAAAGAAACCGCTAATAAAATTCACCTCAGTAGCTCGCGTCAACTTCGAAATATACAAAACACCGTGAGGCTTCATACTATGGTATATCAATTTGTTACCACACCTAAGAAAATGACAGTAGTAATGAAAAACTACCTAGAAGCAAAGTGCTCAGTTAAAAAATGAAATAAACAAATACGTAAGAGGAATGACCTTTTAGCGTAAATTTGGAACTATTCATTTCGCGCCTCAAGCAACAGAACCCTACTGTCTGGAAAAACGTCTCAAGAAACCCATACTTCTTGACAGGTTCCTTTCTGAGGTACATAGTTTCCAAACTTCAGAAATAAAATTCTTTATTTGCACTTTTAGAATAGTCTCAAATTAGTTTGGTTAACTTTTAACTTTGCTATTATGGCTATTTGGTAGAATCATCGGATGAGTGGTATAGTCAAACAGACAGATAAGCGAAGAACTCACACAAGGACATTGCTTTAAGTTGCCTACACTAAACAGTAGGATGCAAGTAACGAATAGATTAAAAAGACTGACATCGAAGTAGACAAAGACCTATGAGAGAATAAACATTTTTAAGATAAAGATTTTTAACCATGTCACCAAGGGTCCTTAACCACT